GCACCTAAACATCCCATTCCACTCTCTCATTAAACATCCCAGTTAGAAACTTGAATTCCTGCGCCCGTTGAAGATCAAACATATGGTTTATCTGACGCATGTCAATACAACATGGAGACGAATAATGACATCCAGTGAAATTTAGTAAATATACTATTGTCATTTTTACTGTAATATATAAGTTTGATGTCAGCAATATTTTTCCTCCCTGTGAATAGCAACGGGTCCCTAGAAGTAGAGAACGGGCTCGAGAGTGAAACCTCCAAAAATACGTTTCCCCCAAAACCCTTGCGTCAGAGAAGACATCGCGCGGGATCTCGACGATCATGAGGCAGGAGGCGACGCTGCCGACCGGCCTCCAGACGCAGACGCGGCGCTGAGGGAGGCGGGCTGCGTGAGTCACTCTGCTGGCGGTGGTGATGATGATGATTATATGTAATTGTAATAATAATGGTGATCTCGTTGTTAATGGCAGTTGTTTTATTATCAATGGTAATAATATTATAAATGATAATGATAATGATGGTTATTTTTATAGTAATGATGAGAATGAGAATGATAATTATAATAATAGTAATGATAATGCTAACAATAATAATAACGAAAATTAAGATAGGAATAATGATAATGATAACAACAATAACAACAAAATAGTATTGATAATAACATTAATAGTAATAATGATAATGATCAGATAATGATAATGATGATAATGAAAATGATGATTAAAAAGATGATATGAATAATAATAATAATGATACTGATGAAAAATAACATAAATAGTAGCAATTTCTGCATTTGCGATGTTTTTGCTCCTCGGTATCCTGTCGCTGCCACTGTGGCCCTTTCGGGTTGGCGGCGCCGGTGCTCAGTGGCAGCTGAACCAGCTGTGTCAGCACTTGACTGGCCGCGTTTTTATGCTGTCTTTCCGTGCTTTCCGTATTGTTCTCTAAAATGAAGAAAAGCGCGTTTGATCTCTGGGCTCTGGTGGCGAGCGCTGTCGGAAGCCGCGGGCGGGACTCCGGCGACGCGTCTCTTCTGGGGGGACTCTCATTTGCATCCTCAGTGCGCAGCCTTTAAAGTCTGCGATATACTAAGGAATAGTATAGCTAAGAGTATGATTAATTCTTTTGAATGTATGGCCAATGAATAAGAATTACATTTAAGAGTTTCAGACAAACTGCCATTCTTTTAACGCCCCAGATTCCACCCGCTTCCCCATCATCCTCATCGCAACTCCTCTTCAGCTTGGATCACAGAGACCGGTGGTACCCTCATATTTACTATTAGTAATGCTAGAGTCTCAGAAACAGCCCCTCAAATTAGTCACCGAAGGTAATCTTTCGTCAAACATGTGCTGTGCATCTGGGGCAAACCGCATTCGCCGCCGAAAAGCCCTTGCTGTGCAGCATCCTTCAGGGAAATTACAAGATGCATGGATGGTTCCCTAAGCGACTTAACGGGTTAAGGTCAAGTGTTATTCAATACTACCCAGCTTGAGCGCGACTTTCCTTGATAAGAGGCAAGTCTTCAGATGGCGACCTTCCGTGCGACCTTTGGCATGAACTCCGCCGAACTGCACCGTCAAGGCCCTTTGGTCATGAAGGAAATACACAGCACATCACGGCAGCTTGTTGAGCGCTCTCTCTCTCTCTCTCTCTATCTATCTGTCTGTCTTTTTGTCTACTTATCTATCTATCAAATTGATTTTTGATTTTCGCTTCAGACTCGTAGTCACTTTTTACGAAAAAGTTCCTAAGCCTTACACCTCGAGATCCTTCCAGCCGCGACGACTGACAGTAGCAACAGCCATTAGCCCTTGGCGACGCTGATGGTGCCGGGGCGTGAGGCTGGAAGCCCCTCGGCAGAACGGGCGCCGCGAGAGGGAAGGGGAGGGAGGGGCAGGAACCGCTTGTCACGTGATGCAGCAATGCCAAGGGTCAATGTCTTGGTGATGGTGGTGATGCCAGTGATTGTTAGTATGATGGTAATAGTGTTGACTGTTTAATGATGATAATGATAATGAAGATAATAACGGCAATGGTGGTGAATGTGACAATAATAATAATGATAAAGGTAATGCTAATGATATTGATGATGTTATAATTACAATAATGATTGTAATAAATTAAAATAATGACCTCAGTGGTAATGATCCTTGATTGTCTTGTTATAATAACCTGCAAGAGCCCCCCCCCCCTTAAGAAAAACAAAAATAACTTCAATATCAGAAATATCGCAACTCTATCCTCGTGCTAGGTCCTGGCGGCCCGACCAGCTCACTCCTCTCTCCAGCGCCTTCTGCGAGGACGTCAAACGGCGCAAGGGCGGCGGCCAACCTTGCTCCGGGCGGTGAAAGTTCCTGGGTCGGGCGGGGGAGCGAGCGTCGCTGGGAGGCGGCCGAGGAAGGGCGTCTATGCTGGCGGGAAAGGAATGGACGTCCATTAGGATGGACGGACGGAGAGCTCTGGTGCATCCAGACCCGCCCGCACGCAACGAAGTGAAACTAGGCGAGAGAAAGGAAAGGCGCTGAGACGACGGCGGAAAAGGGCACCGCCGCGCGTTAGGCTTGGACCAGTGCCCGGGGCGCACTCTGCCCCCGTTGGGCCGACCGAGCGCCGGGGAGCTACGCAGCGTCACCGCGTCATGCGCTCTGCGCTCTCATGCGCCGCCGCCACGTCGATGTGTGTGTGTGTGTGTGTATATATGTATATATATATATATATATATATATATATATATATATATATATATATATATATATATATATATATGTTGATATACATATTCATATATTTGTATTTATATATATACATAGATACATATATGTGTATATGAATATATACATGTGAATAGATGTATATATATATATATATATATATATATATATATATATATATATATATATATATATATATATATATGTATGTATGTATGTATGTATGTGTGTGTGTGTGTGTGTATGAATGTGTGTGTGAATGTGTGTGTATGTGTATGTGCACATACGTACACACATACATATGTGTATATATATGTGTATGTGTGTGTAGTTGTGCGTATGGATGTGTGTGTGAATGTTTGTATGTATATATGTATGTATGTATGAACGACATTGCACATAAATGGAAATTACCGTAATAACAGGAAGTATAAACATTCGTTGCTCCGCCTCCTCTGCATCCAACAACTGTTCAGCGGAGCATTAAACCTTACAGGCGGAGTCAAGGCTTGGGAGTTCCACGATGTCCTCCGCTTGAGAAGGTCCTCTGAAAGGGAGACCAAGACTCCGAAGAGGGCAGCCAAGGGCGCTTGATGCTCGGGATTCTATTGCCACTTTAGTGAACTCTCTTCGAGGAGATTCCCATAGACGGTCTCTGCCCAAAGCGGCCTTTTATTACAAAGGAATATATGCGTTCCATGCTTGGCCCTGAGAGAGAGGGGGGTGGAGACAAGGAAAGGGAGATAGATAGAGAAAGAGAGGGAAAGGGTGAGGAAGGGAGAAAGAGAGAGACAGAAAGAAGGAGTGAGAGAAAGAGAGAGAGAATGAGAGAGGGAGAGGCAAAAAGTAAGAGAGAGGGAATGACGTGTGGGTGGAGAATGACATGACGAAATCTTCAAGCCCAGAGGGTGCTGTGGGGCCGTCGTTCGCTGTCACACGGTCAGAGATGAATGAAACATAAAGTCAGTTTGCTTAATTTTTTTTCTTACAGTATAGTGGGAAATAGTTTTGATTTCTGGACGGGATTTGGACTGCTTATCAAGTGGCAATCGACATACCTTTAAAGATTTGAGAAACCCATCCAGCAGTTGATAAGCTTTCTGGATGGTGCTAAACTTTTTCATCAAGGGAGTTGGCCACGGTGGGTAGTGCACGAGCACTTACCTCCCTTTTACGTGTCGTTATCAGAACACCAAGTAGTTTGGCTGCAAAAGTGAAAAGTGAAGGCTATCCAATAAATAAACATTATAGTAATGTATATTGTAGGTTTTTCACATTTTCAAACTATGTATCATAATGATTGCTGTATTTTCAATTTCCAGACTTTTATCACGCTCCATTCGTCCAGTGTCTCACACTGTATTCCTGGTCCCCTTTTGCTGTATCAGGGGCGGGTCCAGAGAACTGTCTGGTGGGGGCCACAAGGGGTAACAACAATAAATCTGGGGGGGCCGCCAGATTATATATACAGGGGGACATTACCACGAGCCAATGACCATGGGGGGGGGGGCACATGGGGTAGCTAATCAGATTGCAGGGGGGCCAGGTGCCCCCCCTCCCCGTGCTGAGAGTTCTCAAGCCAAGTGCCCGAAAAGTGTTCATGAGACGTGTTCACGTTTTTTGCACTACGGTCTCAGAACTAGTGCGTTGGCGCGAACATATCGATGATTCTGGTCATTATGGTATAGAAAAGATCAACTGAACAAATCATGATAAACTCATTTTCGGACAACTGGTCAAAGAACACCTTTGGATGCATGTTCATAATTTCATGGATGAACTTTATCCTATCCAAAAGAGGATAAAGGCAGATAGATACACAAATATCTTTGCAAATATTGCTTCTTTCGAATTCCAAGCAAATCCAGGACAAAAAAAACTACTTTAATATGAAGAGTTCCTGAAAATAATTATCCTGGAAACTTTCTTAAGATTTCTCCGTCTTTTACCAGAAAAAAATCACACCTGTGGAAAAATTCACACCTGTGAACGAGTTAAGGTTCAAGTAATCAAGTTCATGTTAAACCCCCCAATGCCCACTTGCAGGTGAACCAAGCCTAACTTTTTTGCGCCGTGGGATTTGCTGATAGATAAGTCACACTAGTTTGTTTAGCTGCTTCGTTGACCCTTGCGAAAGTTGCACAAGCATTACACAGGTGTTTCACCATAACAGGTGAGTAATAATCTGGAGGGTACCGAATGAGGCACCATCGGTCCTGTGGGTATACAAAATCTTCATTTCTTTAATACTAATTTTTTGAGAAAGGGGAATTATGGATATCTCGTCTGGCATAGAAAAGTATAGTCATCTACAATACGGAACCCCTTTCAAAAAGGTAGCTGTAAATGAAGACCGGATTTTTTAAACTAATGCCATGCAGCTATGCGAGTATGCCAAGCTTCTTATGATATCGTGTTCCCTGTTTGTCAAAGAACATAGCCAGCAAGCAGCTTGGTGTGGAGTCTTTTAAAGCTTTCAGCATTTCCATCCACTCATACATCTGTGGTGGATCTCAATTTTTAACTGACCATTGTCTGTGTAAGTTTCCGATGAAACTGGTGAGGAAAGCGGTCCGGTGCTTTAGTCTCCTCCAGAGACAAATGGGCAAGCTTCAGCATGAGCGATTGGGAAGTCTTCAGTGTGTATGACATTGTCGGTCAGATTACTTTTGGAGAGGCTTGTGCATCTTTAGTTTGTCTTTTCACGCGTGCCTCTGTCAAATGGCACTTTACACCCCATTTCTTAGGTTA